TAAAAAAACAATGACTAGGATTTCAGGTTCAAAGATCCCCATGCTGGGTTGGCCTCCTTTTCCACTGACTAGGGCTTAGTCTGATTCAGCTAATTTTGCCACCTGATTTTTGCTCAGGTAACATGACAAATTGACTTCACTGTGCTCATTGGCTGATATTGCTCTTACTATGCTGCATTATCTGTTATTGCTGACAGTAATTTTCTCTGATCTCTCTTCTGAATTTTTTTGGAAATTTAGCATCTTTTAACTTGAATTGTTTCTTTCCTTTTTGGAGAGTGGATTTGATAACTGTTCCTGGTTCCTCCTTACCCCATTCCTGCCATGGAATCATACCTGCCTGTGTTGTCATGGTGGGTGGGCTATTCTGCCCTGCCTTGTTGACACTGGAGTTGGCTGTGTGATGTTATTCTATTTCTAGAATGTCAATGTACTGATGATCCAAGAAAAGTCTTTATCTTCTAATTTCCCCCAAAAGAAGCACCCCACAGGTAGCTGGCACTCCTTCATAAAGGACCTAGAAAGAAAATATGTGTAACAGAAATGAACTGGATCAGAAACAGTTTCAGCTGAGAAAAGCGAAGCCCAGCCCAAAGCAGCCAAACCCCTGCAACATGCAGACCCATGAAGATGAGAAGAAATGTTTACCGCAAGCTTCTGAAATCTTGAGTTTGTAGTGTAATAAAAATGGGCTTGTTCAGACACTGGAACTAGACATTGGATGCAGCCTATATAAAAGCCTAGTGATGCAGCATTATCTTTCGCACTGGGAGGCACATGGTCTGAAACTGGAAACTTACAATCTGTGTTATACACTGGCAAAAACATTTGGCTGAATTATAGTCTATTGGCTGGAGACATGGCTCAGTGGGTAAAGGCACTTGCTTTTTTTTTTTGTTTTTTTGACTTTTTGACTTTTTGGCTTTTTGAGACAGGGTCTCCAGCAGGCCAGGAAATTCAGGAAATTACTAGGCTATCCTCAGACTCACAGAGATCTGCTTCCCGAGTGCTTGAGTGCTGGAATTAAAGGCATAGGCCACCACACCAGGCTTGATTGCCATTTTTAAAGCATTGCCTGAGTTTTATCCCTGGAACCCAAGTAAAAGTAGAAGGAGAGAACTGATTACAAAAACGTTGTTCTCTGACCTCCACATGTGTGACATGGCATGTATGCCTGAACATATACATCACGCACATAAGCTTATAATAAAATAAAACTTAAATTTTAAAAAGTTATCATCTGCTATATTTTAGAAGGCAGAATGTATCAAATGAACTTGTGGAATTAGAAAGGTTTCAAGATAGAATGTTGGTAGGGAACAATGAGCATTTGCTGCAAGCAAGAAGTATGCTCAGGGGCTGGAGAGATGGCTCAATGGTTAGGAGCACTGGCTGCTCTTGCAGAAGACCCAGGTTCAGTTCCCAACACACGCATGCCAGCTAACAACCATCCTTAACTCCAGTTCCAGGGGATCTGATGCTGTTGGATAGGCGTGTCCTCTGAACAAACTAGCAACATCTGGATATCTAAACCCTAAGAGACTCTGTAAAAAGGAAGGGAGACAGTCACCCCTCCTACCCAGTCAGTCAGCTTCAATTGCATGAGGGGGAAGGTCTAAGGAGAGACACAGAAGAAGCCAGGAAGGTGACACATGAAGTTTGTCATCTTGGCCAATGCTCTGGCCGCTGCCCATCTGAAAAGCTCAGCCAAGATGTAAGGGAAAGAGGCCATAGGTGCATGCCTTTGTAAGTGATCCTCTCCTGGACATGATAAACTCTGTAAGAAAACCCGAATGTATTGTGTCAGTTTTGTCAGTGGGTTGTAAGGATAGTATGGAGCAAGAAGGTTGTCGTGCACCTCACAGAAGGCCTGGAAGCCAAGAGCATGTAGAGCGTTGGCCTCCCAGAAGTGAATTTCATTTTACAGATGCCCTCTTCTGACCTCTGCAGGCATTGCCTGACATGGTGCACTTACATACATGCAGACAATACACTCACACATATAAAATAAAAATAATTTTAAAAAAGAAAGAAATGAGCTTAGAAAGGACAGGACAATTTGCAACCAGAGTAGAAAGGAAATAGAGCTTGGACAATACTGGATTGGGTGGTGAAACTTTTCTTACAAAATCATAGCTAGGGCCATGTAGAAATACTGTTAACAGCCAAATCAAAGTTTAGAGCTGGGGCTGGAGCGATGGGTCAGTGGTTAAGACACTGGCTGTTCTTACAGAGGACCCAGGTTTGGTTTCCAGGGCCCACATGGCAATTACCAACCACCAGCAACTCCAGTTCCAAAGGATCCGATGCCTTCTTCTGACCTCTGTGGGCATGACACACATGTGGTGCACATACATGTAGGCAAAACATTCATATGGATAAAATTAAAATACATAAATCCATTTTTAAAGTGTAGACCTAGAGCATCAAAACCTTTAGTAGGAAGGATGCAATTCACAAGTAAAGCTTGGAGTGGGTGGGAGTTGAGAAAGATGTGTCCAGCTGTATCTATAAAAACCATAGTTATTAACACATAATTTGAGCTTCACTACAATTAGCTGTCAAGATTGCTCAGAAGGTAAAGGCACCTGCCAACAAGACTGACGACCTGAGTCTAATCCCGTAATAGAAAGAGAGAATAAACTCTCATTAATTGTCCTCTGACCTCTACACACCAGGAAATGCATGTGTATGCACACACACACACACACACACACACACACACACACACACACACACACACACAAATTTTAAAAATAAAATATGAAAAATTAAAATAGTGCTAGAGATCATTAGGTTCTCCTGGTGACTTATTTAAGAATATTTTGCTTATTTCACAGTCCAAAAGATCTTCCTGAAGTTGTGGAGGTGGCTCACTCAATAAAGTAGCTGCTTTGCAAACAAGAGGATCTGAGGTTGATCCCCAGTACCCATGTAAAAAGCTGAGTGTGGTGGTGGCTCATGAGCACTTGTGATCCCAGTGCTACAGAGGCAGAGACACCATCACTGGGGCTCATTGGACAGCCAGTTGGTGAGACGCAGACCAATGAGACAACCTCAAATGAGGTGGATGACATGTGAGTTTGCTCTCTGGCCTCCACACACATGAGCATAATCCTCTTCCCTCTCTCTCTCTCTCTCTCTCTCTCTCTCACACACACACACACATACACACACACATATTAAAAATATATACTTTCATTTTCTTCTAAAAACTTCATAGCTTTAGTTTTCATATTTAGGTCAATGACCTCTTTCAAATTAATTTTTGTCTATGGTATGAGACAGGAGTTCAGTTTTTAAAAATAAGTACCCAGTTGCCTCATCATAATTTATTGAAATTTATCTAAGAAATAAATCACATTGAATTTTATTATCATCTTTGTTGAACATAAAATAACTGAATTTTCTATTCTGATGCACTAACCTGTGGGTTTATCCTTAGACCAAATAGGAACCTTGCTGATTTAGTTGATGTAGCTTTTTGATGAACCTTGGAATCTTTTAGTATACCTCCTCAACATTGCCTCTATTCTTAAGATTATCAAGATTATTTTGGAGATTTTCAGTTATATAAATGTTAAAATCGTTTACCAATATCTACAAGAAACTACCAGTACTTTGTTTGCAATTAGGATTAGCAGTTTCAATATTCAGCATCTGACTCATGGGCTGGTAAATCTTTCCATTCATTTAGGTCTTTAATTTTTTCCCATCAGCAGTTTTTGGAACAGAAGACTTTATTTTCTTTGGCTAAATTATCTTCTAGATGTTTGCTGGTTTTAAGCTATTATAATGGATTATTGTAAGTTTTGCAATAATTTCTTGCAATGTATGTGGAACTATTATTTGCTTTTTATATTAAATTTATATTTGGAAACTTTGATAAATTGATTTGCTAGTTCTAGCAAAAGTATGTAGTAAAGTTATGTGGATTAGTTTGACTTTCTTATTATGAAATTGAATCATCTAGAAATAATGGTAGTCATAGTTACGTCTTTTCCAACAGTTTTAATTTTCATGGTACATTGCATTTTACATGAGCTAAGACCAGAAGCACAGCACTGGGCAGACACACCCTCTTCTTGATCTTATTTTGCAGGATTTCACGGTATATTGGTTACAGAGATTTTCTTGGTATATATTTTATCAGCTTGAGAAAGTTTTATTATTGACCTCATCTGTTGGAAGTTTTTTGTTTTGTTTTTGTATTTTGTTTATTATTTTTATTTTATGTGTATGAATGTATTGCCTGCATGTAAGTGAGTGCACCTTTGTCATGCAATGCCACGGATGTCAGAAGAGAGCTTCAGATTCCCCTGGAACTGGAGTTAAGGACGGTTCGCAGCCGCCATGTGGGTACTGAGAATTGAACCTGGCTCCTCTGCAAGAGCAGTCAGTACTCTTAACTGTTGAGTCATCTCTCCAGCCCCTGTTGGAAGTTTTAACAGTGTTGAATTCTTTTTTTAAATACTTCTACTGAGATGATTATTTGTGTCTTCCCTTTATTTTATCATTATGGTAGGCTGCAAGCTGAGATGTTTCCCTGGAGAAGTCATGCAATTGATCAATTTTCTGTTAAGCCAATTTTGAATTTGTGGAGTAAATGCCACTAGGTCACAGGATGGTATTTCATGTATCACTGGATTCTAAAAAAAAAGTCTGTTTATAAGAGATAAGATTAATAATGTCTTCTCTGGGTTTTGATAATAGTCTTGAGCTGACCTGGTAACTCAAGGCTTCATAAAGTATTCTCTTTTTCCTTAGTCTGTATATGAATTTTAATGGAATTGATATTTCTTCTCTAAATGTTCAGTGAATTCTCCAAGACAACATCTCAGCTTGGGATTTTCACTGTGGAAGAGTCTGCAGTTTCCTTTCTCTAAACAATATACAACTTTTCAGATTTTTTTTTATGTATTATTTTTAGCTGTGGAAAATTGAATGCTCAGAATTGTTAACAGCATTGCTAGAAACCTGTGCATAAAATATCATATTTTAGCTTTACACAGTGGCAGTATCATAGTCAGTAAGGTTTATCCAAGGCATGATTATTGCTAATTGAAAACTTTTCCCAATAAAATATCATATTATTATAATGTTACTATCTATATGCCAGGTCCCAGTATTCACTGTTAACACTTTCATACTGCTAATTTGTGGTTTTGCTTATTATTTCTTGATCTTCAAAAAAATCCAAAGATCTTGTTGATTTTCTCTTTTGCTTTTGATCTTACAGATTTCCTTTACTTCATTTTCTTTACAATTCCATTTTTTTTCTACTTTCTTTTGGTTTGTCTTTTTCTAGATTCTGAAGATTAACACCTGCATAAATAACTCTTTTTTTGAGTACAGCTATTTATAACTATAATCTTTCCTTTAAACATTATTTTAGCTGCATCTGACAATTTTTAAATAGTGTATTTTAATATCTATGCAGTCAAAAATATTTTCTAAATTTTATTTTTGTTTTTTGCTTGTGCTATTTTTGCTTTTTAAAAAAATCCGTGTCTATTAAAATGTGTTTATTAGTGTATATATAAAATAATGGGTTTCCCTGTGACTTTCCATGCATGTAAGGTGCCTCGATCACATTCACCCCCTCATTACCCTCTCTTGTACCTCCATTCTTCTTCCCAAATACTCCCTCTTCCACTTTTTCTTTCGTTTTCCCTGTAAAGATAGATTCAACATGAGAGAAAATGTGATTGTTTTCTTTTCGAGTCTAGTTTATTTTGCTTAATATGATGATCTCTATTCCTGTCCATTTTCTTGCCTAGAGGAAACATGTGACTAACCACACTGGATGTCTGTAGATTATTTTTTAAATATAATTTTTGAACAAGTAAAATGTATATTATTTGATTCAAGTTAGAATTTAGAAGACTTCTTACCAGCCTTCCTCCACTGTTCAAATCCACCCTAGAAGCCCTAGAAGGTTCTATTGGTGTAGCTGAAGGTTGATCACTTAAAAACACCTTTGCTTTCTATTTACTCTAGTAGAGAGATTAACACTTGAATTTGAATTAGAAAGATAGAAAACTGCTTACCCAAACAGCCCTTTTGTATTCTTTCCTCTTCTTTTTGGTAAACTAGATTACAAGGATTTGCTTTTTAAAAACCACACAGAACAAATTTCTAACTAGGTATAATTGGCATCTTCATCTATGCCTTGCCTAAATGAATAATAATTTATTATTTCTTTGGGTTGCTGAGATTGTTTTCCTACATTGTAAGGGAGGGTATTGGGATTGCTGGGAGGATGCAAGCAGCCTGACTCATGTTGCTCTCTGTTGGTGATAGCTACTAGCTGGGAGCTTAGCTAAGGTTGTTGGTTGGGGCCTTGGTTCTTCTCAGTGAACCTCTCTATAACTTCCTGAGCTTCTTTCCTGCAGGGAAGCTGGATTTAAGAAGGAGCATTATAATTTAGTCCTAGACATTATGCTTCAACCTTGAGTTGTAGTGATCAAAATTAGCATTGCTATTACCTTCGTTTTAGAATCTGTCAATATTATGGGAAGCTGAGTGAAAGGCAAACAGTAACCTATTATATCATACAAGCAACTCTTCTATAAGCTAAAATTATTTTAAAATTAAAAGTTAAGAAATAGGTCACCGAGTCATCCAGAGTTGAGGGATTAAGGGAAAGGGAAACAGACTCCACCCTTTGATAGGGAGATGACAAAGCTATATTATGAGAAACAATATGGGCTGGGCCTGGTGGTACATACCTGCAATCCCAGGGAGGGTGGGGGGGTGAAGGTCGGGGGAGAATCAGGAGTTCAGGGAATTCAGGAGATCAATGTCATCTCTGGATACATGCATAAAGTACTCAAGATCAGCCTGGGCTAAATTGAGACCCTGTCTCACAACAATAAAAAAAGATCATGTGAGCGCTGGAGAGATTGCTCAGTGGTTAGGAGCACTGACTGCTTCTTACAAGAGGACCTGGGTTTGGTTTCCATTACCAACGTGATAGCTAACAACTATCCATAACTTCAGTTCCAGGGGATCCAATGTCCTCTTCTGGCCTTCACAGGCACTGCATGCATGTGGTGTACTTACATACATATAGGCAAAACACTCATACATATTAAATAAATAAATAAATAAATAAATAAATAAAAGACCACGTGGGATAAGAAAGGTTGTCACTCCTGCTCAGTGGATTTCCAAGTCTGTACAGAACATTGTAATTATAGCATAATTTAGTATGTGTATGTTTGTGTGCACATACATGTTTTCTGAGAATAATCCTTAAAGAATAGACTACATCAGACCACACATTTAACCATTGGGTCATAAGACCAGGAGACAGAATCACCCTGAATGCAAATCACAAATGAGTGCAAGTGTTTTGTTCCAAACAGCCAGATGTCTAAGTGGCACCCTTTTGGATCAACATGAACTGCTGATCATCAGTACTGACTTTGTGAGTAAGCTAATACATCACAAAATACCATTGTTTCAGAGTGTGGTTATGATAATTTGCAAATTGTTAACTTCTCAGAGCTCATTTACAGTCATATTTTACCTTCTACTTTAGACTTTCCTTTAAAATGGATTTGAATACTAAAATATACAAAGACCTAAAAAAAAAGAAAAAAGAAAAAACCAACAACTCCTGCCCCCTCCAAACTAAAAGATCAAAAAAACAACTAATCCAATTAAAAAACAGGGCATGGAACTAAACAGAGAGTTCTCAAAAGAAGAAACACAACGGCTGAGAAACATTTAAAACTGCTCAGCATCCTTAGTCATACTAATTTAATTTAAACAATTTGAGATTTCATTTTACTCCAGTGAGAATGGCTAAGATAAAAACAAAATGACATCAAATGCTGGCATGAATATGAATAAAGGGGAACACTCACTGCTGGTGGGAGTAGCTACTATGGAAATCAGTGTGGCGGTTCCTCAAAAAGCTAGAAATAGAGCTACCACAAATACAGCGATACCATTCTTGGGCATATACCCAAAGGACTCTATATTCTACTACAGAGATACTTGCTCATCCATCTTCACTGCTGCTCTATTCACAATAGCCAGGAAATGGAAATGATCTAGATGTCTGTGCTGGATAGTTTTAGTTGTCAACTTGACACTTAGGTAGAGGGAGCCTCAGTTGGGGAATTGACTCCATTGGATTGGCCTGTGGCCATGTATGTGGGGCATTTGCTTGATTGTTGAATAATGTGGAAGGGCTCAGTCCACTGTGGGTGGTGCCACCCCTGGGCAGATGGACCCATATTGTATAAGAATGCAGGTTGAACATAGGCCAGGGAGCCAAACCAGTAATCAACATTCCTCCATGGGGTGTGCTTCAGCTCCTGCCTCCATGTTCCTGCCCTGGGTTTCTATTTGGCAAGATATGTCCACTTGTGCAATAGTGGCATAAATGTTATGGAAGTAACATAACTGATTTAAGGCCTGCTGCACAAACTCTCATACCTGGCAATGTTATGAGGGCAAAGAACCTGTGCCTAGATAGGTCATGGGCTCTAGGGGAGAACTAATATTCTATAAATGGATCTCTGTGAGTTCAAGGCCAGTCTGGTCTACATGGGAGTGAGTTCCAGGCCAGGTGGGGAAACAGGGAGAGCCTGTCTCAAAAAAACAAAAAACAAACAACAACAACAAAAAAAGAGGTTGTAACAGTCAGAGGTGGCAAGTGACTACAGGAAGCAAGTGTTTTCTAGATAGTAGGGACAGTTGCACATATGACCTCATCCAAACTGTGATAGCATCCACAGGACCTGCTCAAGCTCAAGCCAGACAAATCCCAGCATGAAGTCCTACCCCTAACTACAGAGCTATTGGCATATGGTAGCTGTTAGTTGCAGAAAGGTGTAGCCTAATAGATCTACCATGCTCCAGGGCTGGTTCCACGCTCAAGACTATTTGGGCAACACTAACTGAATTCTACGGGAAAGAAAGAGATGAAGGTAGGGAAGTGGTAGTGGATCTGGAAGGAGTTGGGGGAAGGAAGATAATAATAGTTAAAAAAACAAAACAAAAAGGGATTTAAAGTGAAGCTCCAAATTCACTTTATTCTCTTTCAACCTTCATTCACACCCTTCAAATGGCAATACAGAATTTGTGAAGGGCAGGAATCCTGGAAGTATTTGGCATGAACATCTTACCTTTTACTGCTTAAGAAAGCACCAAATTCATGGGCAAAATGCTTTATTTCTTTTGTGCTATCTGTACCAGATGCTAGTTTTCAAAAATGAATTGGAGGAATGAGAAAAATGAACTGAAAATACTTCAGCAATCATTTAAATAACATAAAAATTGGCTACTCTTTGAGTGACAGATGGAAGACACCTATGTATAAAATCATCTGGGTATAGCACAATCGTCAGAAGTAGATCTTAAGTCATTTTCTTAAGTTTTTCAGTGATTATTGTTCTATGTAATTTTTCTACTTTTGAGTTCATTTTTAAAATTCCTATTTCCCAAATAATCAGCAATTTCACCTGGACCTTCATATTTGTTGGTAAAATGCTAGTCCTTCTGAATGATTTCTCTGCACTGTAATGAATAATTTAAGATGCTCAGAGTAAGTCAAGCATGAAGGACAGGAAGGAATAAAATGAGCACATCGTAATGGCACTTAGGCAGATATAACCTGTGCCGACTGCTGATCAAATTGTTTTAAGCAATTTAGAGCTTTAGAACTTCTAGGAAAAAATTACATAGAAGTATGTATTTTAAAAATCAAGTTTACAAAGTATAAAGTAAGCAATGATACTGGTACTCTGCACTTTCAAGTTATGAGATATAATCTTCTTACCTAGAAATAAAGGCAGATTCCTGATGGGCAGAAAGATAGCTTTGTCATTGAGAAAGTCCACTAATCTACAACCATGTTTGCAATTTAGGGAGAGTATGTGAAAATGAATTAGAAGCCTGGAGCTCTGTTCCAGGCCTTAAGTATTTCCTTGGTTGCAGATTCTTCTGGGACCCTAACATTTGTGTGAATATGAACACAGAGAAAATAAAACTTTTTCATGGAAGTATTTCAAGGAAGACAAACAATGATTCACTGGTGTGATGGTTTGAATGATAATGTTTCCAATGGGTTCCAAGTATTTGGACGTTTTGTCTCAGTCCATGGCACTGTTTGGAGGGT